GGAGTGAGATTTCTCCTTCCCAAAATTCGACCCATTTGGTGATTGAAGTAGTTTGAGGGCATTTCATTCCAAGGAAGCTTAACAGACTTTCATTCCTTGGTTGTGTGACCTTTTGTGGTAAGTTTCCCATTCCTTAACACTAGCTTTCATGGAGATTTTAAAAAGGTTGAAGATGATGAATAGTGTTTTGTGGGTTGTATGTGTTTGAGTTTGATTTAGGCTTAACTCCTTTGTAAAAGTTGTTGAAAATGATAATTAAACGGTAAAAATGAAGTTAGTTTGTCATTTGGCTTAGTTTCAATATTTGGGGGAAATTATGCTTGGAAGTGTGGATTTTCTTGCATTATTGAACCTTGATTGATGGTGTCCATGTTATTGCTAGGATTGAGGCAAGTGAACCACATTGAGTGATCAAGCATTGGTGGAATTCAAGGAGCTTGATTAGGCTAGTTTTTTGGTAAGTTCATAAGCTTGTTGGTGGAGCGTGGATTTTCTATGTTGTTGATGAATGTAGAGGTATTCATGGATGTATGTTGATTGATTTCACACTCTTGAATAGAGTGTATTGGTGATTGGAAGGAATTGCCAAGTGGACATACCAATAAACGTTGGTGTGGATAAGTGAGCTAGAAGAAAGCTTGCAAGAGGAGGAGAAGCATCAAGAGGTAAACCTTTGGATCTTGGAGGTTAATCCCTCTTGTTGTTCCACCATTGCTTTTACGGAAGTTATGGTTATTGAATGGATGATTGAGTGGTAATATTAGTATTATGGTATGTTTGCATTCATATAGTATTGTTGTGTCATTGGAGAAAGAGCCAATGGACAAGCACTAGGGGCTAGGTTGTATGCTTAGTGGAAAGGACTAAGATGCAACTGAAGCGTGTGTGATGATTTGATTGTTTAAATCTTTGGCCATTTGAATGCACGAGTATGCTGTAATTAAATCATTACTGTTATTGCCTCTGGATATATAATGTAGTTCATGCCATGTATATACTAACCCTTCATGCAGGAAGTGAACTCTGGGGTTGGAGCAATTCTTCAAGAACCCTGGGTTTATTGAGTTTTATCTCATCCCGTTTGGGGACTGCTATTTCAGGTGTTAGCAGAGATGATACTGGGCGAGGCAAAGGGCACGAGTAGCTTGCATATGATAGATGATATTTGAAATATTTTGATGCATTAGGAATAGATGAATGAAAATAGGACTTAGAAGTTGATCATTGATGTTGTATTGCCCTGGTGGGACTTTGATCACTTGTTATTTCTAAGTCTTTGGTATGTAATCATTTTGAAGTAAATTGATTTAATTGAGCCTTTGGATATCATGTGAGCCTTGAAATGCCAAGAGGCATGTATTGAAATGGTTGTATAATGTCTATTAGGTAAAAGAAAACCTTTGGGGTTGAGAATTATATAAATATAAGGATATTATGACTTGTTGTCCATTTTTCATATCCTATATGATATATTTAGACCCTTATGTGTTAATGGAAGTTGTAGATCTTTTTCTTAGCTTTCCAATGAGACCAAAATTGCATCAATTGGATAAGTATAACTCCAGTTAGGGGTAAAATACCAAGGCTAGGTGTGATCTCCAGAACTTTGGCGCTATTAGCGCCGTGGTGGCGCTAATTGCGCCAAGATACAGTTAGAAAATGCATTCCCGGCGCCATTCGGGCCATAAGTTTGGGAAGCTTCTGTTTCCTGGTGCTAATCGCGCCGGGCCCAGTGGGTTCAGCGCTCGTTTCTTAGAAAATTCATAACTTGAGCTACGGTGTTTCGAATTGAGCGCGGTTTGAACCCACACGTAGCTAACCAAAAGATCTATAAAATAATGGAAGATGAGGACCATATAAGTGGTATAAAATTTCTTATGTAACTAAAAAGTGGAGGTATTTAGTGTTGAATAACAATAAAAATGAGTTTTAAGCCTTGGTGGTCTAAGGGGACTACTTGGCACACTATGGTAGCAACGTACGGTCTAAATAAAACTTACGATAGGTGTTCCACATATAGTTTAAGTTATGATCACATTTATGGGAATTGTTTTAAGTACGAAATTAATTTTAAACAAAAACGGTTATAAATAAAAAGAAAAAAGGTCATCGGTATTTTAATTCAATTGTTGTGATTGTAACTGCGTTTAATGCCGTACGTAATGCTAACAAACTGATTCTAGAACGGGGTGTTACACAATCATAACTTAAACAATATGTTGAACACTTAAGGTCTATTTAACCATGTCATACATTGCTCGGCTTTTTGACCACTGTAGCCCTTTATTAATAATTATTTACCAAATTGCCTTCGATTAGAAACTATTACGAAAAATTAACCCTCCAAACAAACATAACACCAATCTGCCCTTGTTTGACCGTTGACCACGAAACGTACCCGGGTACCCCACTCCATACCCGGGTATTTTTTAAAAAAATCAACCATACCCAGGTATGTAGGGGGTACCCGGGTATTGTTCTTCAACCTGGAAATTTTTTGAATTATTTACCCGGGTAGGTAAGGGGGTACCCGGGTAGATTTTTCGAATAGGGTACCCAATACCAAGGGTTTCGGCCATTGTTGCGAGGTAAAGTTTTTTTTCCCCAAATCAGTTTCCCTTCACGTCTCTATTCCGAAACATCACACATATATTTCATCTCATCATCTCAAAAAGCTTAATCTTGGTAGGACATTGGCATTACACCTCCACATTTCCATTTTGTGTTAAAAAATCCGAACCAAGATCCAAACCCAAAACCTAAACCCAAATTTTCGTGTGAAAGATGAGTTCAAGTCCTATCATGGTACCTATAGTTATTTACTACAATGGGAGACATTTTGAAGGTCCGAACGGTGTCCGATTTGAAGGAAAAACAAAAACGATGAAAATGAAAGTGGGCACTACATGCAATGAACTGAAGGAGAGAATTCTCCAAAAAATGGGGTCAGAAGGCATCCATTCCATCCACCGCATGATAGCCAGGTTAGAGACTGTTGTGGATATGGAAACAATATACAACATTGGTAACGATATCAGTGCTGATGAAGATGTGGAGTTTGTCACAGATGCGTATGTTGGATGGAAAGTATTAAAAATGATTGAGATATATGTTGAAGTTGATGCTGGTCAGTCTTCATCGTTACCGGTGCATACAACCACTGCGCACTGTATTGGTCAAGAAGATACAATTGTACGATCATCTGCACCTACTCAGGTAACAATGGATGAGGATGAAGACGATGAAGATGAGGAGTATGTGGACAGCGAAGATGAGGGAGAATCTGAAAGTGCTAATCCACAGGGTGATTCGTCTAACACTGACGTGGATGAAAATTTTGACGCTGACACGAGCGTTGTAAAGCTGGGTACCCTAGTCATGTCACCACTTCATGTTGATCCTGTCAGTTCACCACTTCATGTTGACCCTGTTAGTAGCGGTAAGTTATTAAATTTTCACATTTGCTTTAATAAATTATATATATTCGGTGATATTGATTTAGACAATAATCAATGAAGCTTTAGATGCAGGGATTGCGGTAGAGCCATTTTGGAATGAAAGCCAACATTATTCATTCATTAATTGGGCGCACCCTGATGACGAGTTGGAGATCCTGTATGGGGATGATGACTTGCACGAAGGTTGGAAGTTAGGAGATCCATTATTTGTGCAACAAGAATTTGGCTCCAAACCACAAATGCAACATGCTGTGAAAATACATTGTATAAAGGGGCGCAGGACAGCCATAGTCAAAAAAAGTGACGAGTCCAGATTTGTTATGAAATGTAGAAACCATACTGACGGATGTCCATGGTTTATGAGGGCAATCAAGCCCAAGAAGGGAGCTAATTGGGTGGTCCGTAAATGGGGTGAAGATCACACATGCCTGAATCAAGGCCTTTCACAAGATCATAGACAGCTGGACTCAGATGTAATCTGTGCGGCTATTATGAGTATGTATTCTACCATGTACTTAACGAATCTTCTAATTGAGAATATGGTAAAGTTGTGTTTTTTTTTACAGACATATTAAAGGAAGATCCAGCTACAAAACCAGTTCTGATACAAGAGAGGATACAAGGAATATATGGATACAACATCACGTACAGGAAGGCTTGGAAGGCAAAAATGAAAGCCATTGTTAAGTTGTATGGTGACTGGGAGAAATCCTATGGATTCTTGTCCAATTGGCTGACGTATATGACGCAGGTGAATGTGGGTTCTGTGTTCAAGCTTGATACAAATCCATGTTGTGACGAATGTCGGGTTTATACAGACAGAGCTATATTTCATAGGGTTTTTTGGACATTTCACCAGTGCATTGAAGCATTCAAATACTGCAAGCCTATAATTCAGATTGACGGCACTCATCTGTATGGGAAGCACAGAGGAACACTCTTGATTGCAACATCACAGGATGAAGATGGACATCTGCTCCCTATTGCCTTCGTTGTTGTTCCTCCAGGTGAGAAGTTGGAAGATTGGTCTTGGTTTTTGAGCCTTTTACGTTTTCATGTCACACATAGGCACAATATTTGCCTAATATCTGATCGTCATCGAAGCATCATAAGGGCGGTCAAAGATCACGCAGGGTGGCAGCCTCCATATGCTTATCATGTTTTTTGTCTACGTCACATTGGAAGCAACTTCAATACCAGGTTTAGGAATGTGGAATTGAAGAAGACGTTGATGAAATTAGGTACTGTATCCTATAATGGTTCACATATTTATTTTGTCATCTTAACTCACTAATTGCATATGTCATTAATGATTTTGCAGGGTACACATGTTCAAAGATTAATTTTGATCTCAGATACAAGGAATTCATCGACAACAATCCAGAAGTTGCTTCATGGTTGGAGGCGATACCGAAAGAGCAATGATGCAGGTCGTATGATGAGGCAGGACTTAGGTTTGGTCATATGACAACTAACCTATCTGAGTGTGTGAATAAGGTGCTTCGGGGAGCACGTAATCTGCCTATCACTGCATTGGTTAAGATGACATTCAGTAGACTCGTTGAGTATTTCGTCAAGAGACGTGAAGAGATTGAAAAAGATGTCTCACAAGGCTGGATAATTTCAAAGAAGGCTGAGGCAGCTTTGCAAAAAAATGATGAATTGGCCGGCACTTATCGTGTGAGGATTTTTGATAGTCAGTTGTTATTGTTTGAGGTTGAGGATGCCTATAATCAATCTACACACGAGGTCAGTGACACCATGAGAGTGGACTTAATCAATCATAAATGTCAGTGTGGTAGGTTCACGGAAATGAGGTATCCCTGCAGCCACGTATTAGCAGTTTGCAAGGCAGCTCGTTTGAACCATTATGATTATGTGGATCCTGTTTTCAAAATTCAAACCATTACTAAAGTATATGCTGCACACTGGTATCCTATTGGCAATGAAATGTTGATTCCATCGGTTGTTGGGCCTACTGTAATTCCGGATGTAAGGTTGGTACGCGCAAAAGGAAGACCAAAGTCTTCAAGGATTCAGAATGAGATGGATTGGGTTGAGTCTCAACCATCGAGCAGTCAGAGCAGATGTAAGCATTGCAAGCAAGTTGGACATAACATTCGTACATGTCCATCGAGGCTAAGACAAACATGACCCTTCGTTGTTACGTGTAATCATATAGGACTTTGTTTTGTAATGACTATGCTTTTATGTATTGTTTTTCATAGTGAGAGGACATCCACTGTATTGTTGTGTAATGTAATGGTTATGGTAGACATTACCCTTTGCTTCATTTAAGTCTTTTGTTGTATGAAATGTACGTTTGACAGGTCGTATGTGTACCATTTGGTTATGGTATTAAACGATCCCACGAACCTAAACCATGTTCTATTACAACCATTACGAGTCACATATGGTTATCGTATTAGACCCGGGTAAACCAGTACGAGTTACCCGGGTAGACCAGTTGGTTTTGCTAACTCAGCAGCTGATCAACCCTTTTTTTGGCAATTTCAGTGATTGTTATTTGATAATACGATACAGGATGACTTGTTGACCACAGAATTGGGCACATACTGTAATCGGATAGGTTGATGTGCACGAATGAAATTACGAGGTATGCACGTTAATAATAGACATCGAATTTACTTCAAAATTCATTCAAAACTTGGAAAATACAGTACAAGTCACATAACACCAAATTTCATAACTGGGTTCTTCATATATTTAAAAAACTACATGATTACATCATGAGATAAAACCCTATACCACAAAAAATGGGATGCATACATACATTAAGATCCAACTTACAGCCTAACAAAATACATAAGTCAAATCTACCCCAGCCATGTCACCTTAAACCCTACTGCCTGGAATCCGAATGTGTATCCTGGTCATCGTCGTCGTCGTCCTCATCATCGCCATCCTCATCTTCTATGTCATGACCCCCTGCTGATCCACCCTCCAAGCGTGTCATCCTGCTTTCCATCGTTGTTCGCCACTTGCTTGTACTCTGTCTGTAGCCCCTAAACTCACTCATCATGGCGTCCTGTCCACATGTCAAGCGATACATGGAGGCCATCACATAATCAAATGTCCATCCTCCCTCAGGAGTTGTCCATCCCCCCTCAAGAGATGGTGGACCTGGTGGTCGCCGTGTGCGGCCGCAACGTGCAGGAGTGGGATCAACAGCATGGACAACATCATCTGAGTCATCATCATCAAGTCCTGCATCAACATCATAAAAAGTAGACATTAAAATGTGGATGGTGCAAAAACATTAACCCTACTGCTACCCTAAATCCAAAAAACATTTACCTGTACCTGCATCCTCCATCTGAGCATCGTGCTGAAGGGGGACCTCTGGTGGTTCAGGTGCCTTTTTCCAGTACCACACACCTGCTGAGCTCTGCATAATCCCGCATTACTTCAAAAGGCGCTCCCCAAAGATGGCATTCCATCCTGTGGTTGTCTTCATGGTCTCAGTTGCCATAGGAACACCAAATCTGTGCAAAATCTTCTGGACCAGGAATGCAAATGGCAATTCAGCCTTTTTTGACTTGGTCGTCTTCCACATCAAGATGCATATGTAGTGCCTCCAGTTCACCTTAATATGGTGAAGGAGGGCCCACAATATCACAAAGTCACCTTCCAGCACCTTCGAATGATTATGAGGGCGCTGGAAAATAATGTGGGTCACCACATAATGAAGTATGCAGGCAGACACAGAAAAATTGCTCACAGGATAATGAGCAAATTGTTCGGCCTCTGCATCTGCCCTCCTGGTCTCAGCCACAACAGCCTCCCTATCATAACCACCAAATATATGATGGTTGTCTCCGTCATATAGTGCTGACCCTGTCTCACCGTCGAAGTCAAATCCCAGCAACTCTGTCCATATAGGAGCAGTAAGGATGATATCAATCCCACATACACGGGAAGTCAGCTCACCATGCACATAGCCCAGGTTCTGGTAGAATGCTCGCACCATGACCTCTGAGTACGGGCACCTCATCTCCGCAAGCACCAGCAAATGTGTTTGCTGAAGAAGTGGGACTATGTCGAACCGCTCCGAATTGAAGAACGCCGAATCCAGTGATTTCGGCTCACAAATTTTTCGGCTCATGAAAAACTTCACAAACCGCTCGTGTGCACCAGCGTCATCCTCAAATAAATATCCGAACGGCAGGTCTGGAGCCTGATGCACAGCCTGGGGCTGAGAGGAGGAAGATACATCATGTCGGTGCTTGCTCCTCCCTTCAGTATTCACCGCTCTCTTCTTCGCAGCGCGTCTGTCCTCCATGCAATCACACTGTAAAACAAAATTAAAAAAAATCAATTTCAGAGAATATGGATAAACAGGTTTAGGGTTAGGGTTTTTATTAGCAACAAATCAGAATACATTTTGAAAACGAAAATTAACAATACGCAAAGCAATAAATTAAAATGCAAACATGATTACATCAAGGTCAGGCCGAATTTTATAATGAATCAGAAATTCAAACGGAAAAAAAATAACATATCTTGAAATTTCAATCAGTAGAAGGAACCCATACCGTGCGCCAAGGATGATGACAAAGTCTTGAGATGATCGATCAAACGTGCTCCCAGAATGGACGAAATCGCACTTCAGCAGCTCTCTACCTGGGTACCCTTTGTGGGTTTTCCAAATGGGGGCTGCTGGGGCTTTTAAAAAACCTATTCGCGAAATCTACCCGGGTAAATAATTCAAAAAAATTCCAGGTTGAAGAACAATACCCAAGTACCCCCGGGTATGGTTGATTTTTTAAAAAAATACCCGGGTATGGAGTGGGGTACCCGGGTACGTTTCGTGGTCAACGGTCAAACAGGGGCAGATTGGTGTTATGTTTGTTTGGAAGGTTAATTTTTTGTAATAGTTTCTAATCGAGGGCAATTTGGCAAATAATTATTAATAAAGGGCTACAGTGGTCAAAAAGCCTACATTGCTCCCATAAAGTGCCAAGTAGTTCTTTTAGACCAACAAGGCTTAAAAACTTATTTTTATTGATACTCAACACTAAACATCATCACTTTTTATTTACTCAAAGAATTTTATACTTCCTCTATGGTCTTCATCACCCACTATATTATATATCTCTTCATTAGCTACGTGTGGGTTCAAACCGCGCTCAATTTGGAGAACTGTAGCTCAAGTTATAAATTTTTGAAGAAAATGGTACTGAATTTCGCAGGGTCCCGCGCTGATAGCGCCACAACACTGCCTTCCCATTGTCTTATGGCACCGTCAGTGCCAACTTTGGCGCTAATAGCGCCAACCCACTGCTTGGTGGCGCCAACAGAACGAACTTGGCGCTGATAGTGCCACGGGTCTGGAGATTACACTTTACTTTAGTATTTTGCTCATAACTTGGGTTATACTTATTTGATTGATGCAATTTTGATCTCGTTGGAAAGCTAAGAGAAAGATATATAACTTCCAAGAAGACCAAAGGATCCAAATCTATCATATAGGATATGAAAAATGGTGAATTGTTTTGAAAAATATCTTCCTACTACAAAAATTGTCTCAAATAAAATAAAAAATTTAATATATGATTGGTCGTAAAGACACCCTTGGTACAAATTGACGATCTAACAAGGATGACAAGACATGATATCCTTATATTTACATTGATTCTCAACCTCAAAGGTTTTCTTTCACCTATTATATTGTGTAACTACTACAAGACATAATCCTTACAATTTTAAGGTTCACATGTTATCAAAATAGGCTTGAAAGCCCTTTCATAATACTTTAGCATATAATTACGTAATAATCAAGGTTCCAGGACTTAGCCTTAACAAAAAACATGATCAAAGCTATTTTACTCCTTTCAACCATCAAGGATACAAAATGACTATGATCATGGTCTAAGTCCCCAAAAATACATATTGTTAGTCCAATACAATATTACTACCAAGTTTGTATCCTATACATATCTTTCTACAAAAATACATGATGCAACCAAATGTAAATACATGTGAGGTACTTCAAAACAATCATATCACATGCTATCATATGGCAACTACTCAGGCCTCTTGCTTCTTGCTCGACCTGCATCATCAATGCTAATACCTGAAATAGCAGTCCCCAAACGGGATGAGATAAAACTTAATAAGCCCAGGGTTCTTGGAGAATTCCTCCAACCCCAGAGATCACTTCCTGCATGAAGGGTTAGTATACACATGGCATGAAATACATCATATATCCAGAGGTAATAACAGTAATGATTTAACTACAGCATACTCGTGCATTCAAATGACCAAAGAATTAAACAATCAAATCATCGCACAAGCTTCAGTTGCATATTAGTCCTTTCCACTAAGCATACAACCTTACCCCCAGTGCTTGTCCATTGGCCTTTTCTCCAATGACACAACAATACTATATGAATGCAAACATACCATAATACTAACATTATCACTCAATCATCCAATCATTAATCATTACTTCCATAAAAGCAATAGTGGAATAACAAGAGAGATGAACCTCCAAGATCAAAAGGTTTACCTATATTTTTTCCAATCTACCTTTGTCCTTCACCAAGTTCCTCAATCAAGATTTCCTCTAGCTCACTTATCCATACCAACCTTTCTTGGTATGAAACTTGATAATTCCTTCCAATCACCAACGTTACCTAAACAAAATCCGGAATTCAATAAATAAAGAATTCATTTTCACTTGCAATTAAAACAATATTTCCTACTCAACAACTCCATTAAGGTACATATTCTATCAATTTCTCAATAGTCCCATGGTAACTAAAGGAATCCTTCCATTCACATTTGTCACACAAGGCACCACAATGCTTGACCATAAGGTTAGGCAACTTACCAATCCTTGAAATAATTCAAGTACCCAAACCAAGCTCCATTGCTTCCTCCATCAGTTGATCTATCAAGGAAGGTCCACAAGGCTCAATCCTACCAACACAATAGACACCATCAAACATCCAACCAAACCATTGCTCATAATGCAAGAAAACTCACAAACCAAGGATAGATTCTTGCAAATTTCATGGTATACACAAATGACTATCTAAGTTCATTTCTACCAATTATTTATCATTCATAACAACATTTACAAAGGAACTAAGCCTCAATCAAACTCAAATTCATGCAACCCACAAAACATTATTCATCATCTTCTTCCATTTTAAGACCTCCATGAAAATAGCTTTAAGGAGTGAAAACTTACCATAAAAGAACACCCAACCAAGAAATGAGTGTCCCTTAAGCTCCCATAGAAGGAAGTTCCCACAAACTCTTCTAATCTT